GCCGGTGCCCCCGCCTCTGTCTGACAGCGTCCAGAGCCCCGGGACCGCTTACAGCTCCCTCCGCCACACCCGACTTCAGAGCTTGCGATGCCACCCATGTGCGTAGGTGTTTGCAGGACACATAATAGCCCAGAGGTTGTCACTCGGCCCCAGAAATGGGGAAAGGGAAACTGCAGACCGAAGCAGCAGAGTACAGGCTGAGCCCAAAGGAAGGGAAAGCAAAAACCTGGGGCTCCTGGGCTCCCCCAGGCTGGCTACGACCCGGCCTTAATCAGCGTGCAGGACAGGACACTGGCCCAAGGGGACACTGCCGGCGGGTGCTGTGCCCAGTAAAATCCCTGTGACGGGTCATCCTAGGTGCTAACACTCACCCCCTGTGCTGTGCTTTTAACGTCTCATTTAATAACGAAGCAGCAAAGGCAGACACATGATTTATTTCTATTTTCCCTTTCTCAGCGCTATACCGTTTTATTCAGAAAAGCCCCAAAGCTCTTCCTTTAAGGCTGCTTGGAGGAAATGCCCAGCCTGGGCTGAGAGGAGAGCTGTGGGTGAGTGGGTGGACAGTAAAGTGGAAGTCGCTACACAGCGACTTTCCTCCCACTGCGCTAACGCCTCCGAGACGTCACTGAGCCAGCCTCCAGAGGAAAAACAAGCGTTCAGCAGCCCGCCAGAGCAGAGCCCAGCACACTGCTCGCCCAGCCCAGCGCCCGCAGAGGATGCTGAGCCGGCATGGCCCCCTGCGCCACAGCCCTGGCCCTGTGCATGGCACTGCTCCTCGCCCCGCGGACAGACGGTGAGTCTCTCTTGCCCACACCGCGCCGGTCTTCAGCTCCCCGCTCGCTGTGTCTGAGCCCCACAGCTCCCGGCAGGCTGCTCTGCTCCCCTACGCACCCAAGATCCCGGCGCCGGGCTGGGGACCGAGCTGGGGGATGGCACGCAGGGCAGGCGGCGAGGGGACCTGCTGCCGTTTGGAGCCGCGCTCGGACGCTTTTGCTGGCCGGTCAGCGCGCAGGCTGGTGGTGCCCACAGGTCC